CCAGCAGTGGACTACCCTTGAGCTCAGGCAGGGGAACGCAAAGAGGAAGAAGAGAAAGGAACTTTACTTGTTATATGCAAGAAACAGGCAACAATTTATAACGTCACTTACCCGTCTCCCATCATCAAATTCCATAATTCCCAGCTGAGGAGTAAGTGTAGTAACTGCAGTGAAGAAAAACAGTTGAGCAATATCAGTACAAGGCCAAAGCTACGATCTAGCACAGAGTTTCTCAACTTATGTAAAAGATTAATTAAAACTAATAATGAACAATGTTTATAAAGTTAGTAAGAGCCAGTAGGAACAACAGCATTTGTGCTGTATAGGTCCAAGTTCTGTCTCATGATGTCTGTTTATTTTGCTTTAGTAACACAATTATAAGATAAGATAAGGCTACCGTATACGGGTATAAGATACATCTTTATTGTCCAGATCCTGGCACATTGGTTTGGTGTTCCACCACGAGTACACACACACACACACACACGCACACACACACACACACACAAACAAACACACGTACACACACAAGTAGGCTTACAATCACATACATAATATAAATGAGCAGCAATATAAACAATAATAATCGTAAGCTAGATACACAGAATAACTGAGAAAAACACAAAATAAGCACAGAGCAAAGTGATCACACCCGGTCGCCACAGAGTAGCGCCCAATTAAGTCATATAAGTGCCAAAGATTAGAAGTGTTACAAGAGATGTAACAAACACACACAAAAAAAGAAGGAGGCGGAATAAGGTGATAGTTGTTTGCTGGGTAGAAGGAGCAAACGACACCAGAGCACCCACCAACCATCCCTTGTCCTATGATGACTATGCACACAGCAAAGAGGCAACTGAATATTTCTAACAATGCTGGACTGTTCATGTAATCTGACTTCAACATTGCAAGCCAAACCGTCAGTTTCTGTAGATCTTTTAAAAAACAGAGAACCTGATTATAAAACCAGATGTTTCCATAGAAATGACGAAGGCTTTTTTTTTCAAAGTTCGCAAAGTCGGAAACTGACAGATTTCTGACCCCCCTTCATATCATGACAATATTACCAGTCTGTAACTTAATCGACCAACCCTTTCACAGTGCCAGTTAAAATTTTTTATCTCTACCGTCCACTCCCAGCACACAAAATAGGCATCACACAGCACAAAGTTTTAATCTAGCATTCACTGTAGGCTCAAGGTGCCAGATGAATTCCTCATCCTACAGTAGTTTCTCACACTTCATTATGATCCATGTGTCATTGAACATTGTGGGTGTGGCACATCTCCATGATAGACTGGTTGTAGTTTTAGGCCAATTTTTTTCACAACAAAAGCGTTAAACAACATGGCAACAGATTGTGTAACTCCTGCCTGAAACTATGGCAGCATCTTGACTGAGCGACACCCCCACCTATGGTTGGGAATTTATCTACAGAAAGTATGTCAATAAAATGTTCGCAGAGATCATTATGACAATCTGAAAGCTTGAAAAATGGGATTTTAGATGACTGCATTTGAATCTAAGAGATTTTAGAAAGGAAAATTTCTTTAATAAAACATTGGGATACTAGCAGGTCCAGTACCAGTAGTGCATGGGCCTTTGGTGGTGACAACTGTACTAAAATTCAATCTGAAAATCGCATTGACACAAAAATCTTCATATCTGAATACTTACAAGGATATGCTGCTACCTTTGGTTTTGCTTTTGAAACTGCTCTTAGAAATGTTGATTTGCCTGCATTTGGAAATCTAGAAGAAAAGAGTAAATAAATTTCAAGGAATTCTTTCCACAAAACAGGAGCAAAAATGAATATGGTTTAATTACTCAACATCAAAGACCATCCCTTTTGTCAGCTTCTAAATGATTCAGAACTTTCTAAATTCTATGCCTAAGCAGACTACAGCAATTTGGAAGAAGTCTTTGAAAACAAAACAACATTAATTAACATACAAACAATCATGTTCAAAATTCTTATTAATTTCAAAAGGTAAATGACTAGATAATTTCTTGTGGCTGATTTTATAAAAAAAATATAACTTTTCATGTAAACAGTATAAAAGCATTTTTGACACCATGTAATTCAGGATACAAACACACACATACCTATAAATACATAACATAAAGAATTCAGTTTGCACATTCACAACAAACAATGAACGTGTTTAGAACTTTTCATGAACTTTTTATTTTGAAAATTTCAACTTACCCCACAAGTCCAACATCAGCTAACAACTTCAATTCAAGGCCAATCATGTTTGTCTGCCCTCTTAGGCCGAGAAAATTTGTCTCCCTGTTTCCTCCGATGCCACCATTTGCCACAATGCAAGAGTCTCCTTCTTTATTCAAATCCACTTAGAAAGGAAAAATAAAAGGTATCTTTATCGTTTGTCCATATTTGTGGAAAGTAGGAGAAATTAACAGAATAACGAGAACAATTTTACAGCAAAGACAATCATTAAGACAAGAGAAAGTACCTTAGAGCATAAGGCAAGGCAGAAATTCTTTTATAGCCCTAGTTGCCTACAGATGGAACAAAGAGAAGCAAATAACAAAGATGAATGATTAAAATGGTATAACAACTACTACCCACAAGCAGATGATATTTAATAAACAAGTTAAGACAATAAAAGAAATTTGAAAAAGTTAACTAATCGACTTAACGGGTTAATAAAGGCAATGTTGAGTGCTCATGGCTATTGATCAGTTCTAAAGACATATATATAAAGACAATTTTTCTGCTTCCACACTGCTTGACAATCAACAACAAGACTCAGACATTCCTTCCTATTGGTAAACAATCATGAGAACTGATTTCTAAACGATTAACTACATCTACAAGCAAAATCTCACCTCTGTCTCCCTTTTCTGTGTGGAGTAAAACTCCAACTGGCACTTCCAAATTTAAATCTTTACCGCTGTTTCCAAGTAAGTGAAATTTGCTGAAAAAAGAGTCATATACATCGTTACATAGCGGTACACAAAAAGACTGTATTTATGTATTCATGTACAGAGATAAAATTAATGTCCATTAAAGAAAAAAAATAAATGCCCATCTATTAATTAAGAAGACAAAAACTCAAGTACTTATTGAGAACTCTAAGATGAGGCCATGCAAATCATTTTTATGATAAACTTTTGCCATACAACGTACAACCATGCAACAGTTGATGAATGACTTTGAATTGACATACATGACAAATTTTATGTTATCCTCTTAAACAAATTTTTTGTTGCATTAAATTAATACCACTTGAATTTTGTGGCCCATTACACACAAAACTTGCCCACTCTTTCCCTTTTAAGCTCATCTGGACCCAAAACCTGCAAGAAGTCATAGCCAAAAGAGATCTTTGAGTTTTGAGTAAAGAGAAGCACACCAACAAAATAATAGTCAGTTAGGGTAGGAAAGAACAATACAGACAGACAGACAGACAGACAGACAGACAGACAGACAGACAGACAGACAGACAGACAGACAGACAGATAGACAGACAGACAAAGAAAAAAGAAAAACAGATGGAAAGAAGAGAAGTAGGACCTACCAGTGGCACCTTCCAACGACTTGTGAAAAGAAAACAACTTGCATTCAAAATACAGATATTATAACATAACTAAACTATACTCATTAACCCAAGCTGTTTACAAATTTTGCTACACCAATGAGTGGAGTCGTTATATATATATATATCAGGGTCAACTCTTTTGAAAGTACTACACGGGATTGCTTCTGTGAAGACCAAAACATATCGACTGCTCAGTGGAAGACTCCGTCATAGATCATTTTCAAAATGGCATATAGCGGAGTCTAACACTAAGCAGTCAGTATGAAGCTCAAATAACGTGCAACTACGCTTGGACAGCTGAAAACTGTGTACTTGATTGAAACCAGACTGTGTTTACTCATACTGCCGTAAGCTGACTAAATGCCTTTTAAATTTTTTTTATTCGCAGCAGTTTCAAGACAAATAGAGGCTTTTTGTCAGAGTAACCATTTAAAAAAGGCGTTCTTTCTAAATTGAAATTCTAATTTATTTAAAAACTAGTCAGTTTCACTTTGATTTTTTCACACACTCAAGTAGGGTAACTGAACAGGCTTTCAATTTAGCAAATTAAAAAAAATTTGGTGCCAAACAGCATCCTCCTATGACACGCCTGCATAAGACAGATCAATGTCAATCCATTCACCTGCTATTATCCCCAACACCAGCTTTGCATGTCTGTTTGGGATGCTGTACAGCAAGCTGCCTCAAGTTTTTCACTTTTGCCTTGGCTGTGACAAAAATCTTTCCTCCATTTCCACCGAATCCTCCATATTTTGGAAGGCCCTGACCACCAGTTCCCCCAGTTACTTGCAGTTGTAGGAAATCAACAAACTTAGGAATAGGTTTCTGAAATCAAAACAAATTAAGTTTTTAAAATATCAGTACCTCAGAATTGTACGATGAAATTCTTTTTAAAAGACAGGTACAATAAGTCTGTAGGTGCAACACATCACATTGAAATTACCTTTCCAAAAACAGGTGAAGTAAATTAACAGAATGATAAGTGAGGCATCATGGTGAAATTAGGCACTCATCAAAATGATGGAATTAAAAACACAGGAATTTTTTCCTCGAGTTTGGTATTACATGTGTACCTCGAAGAAGGCAGAGGTAACAAATAGTCAGTATATATGGTAGTGAGTTTTTACAAAATATCAATTTCAGCTTAAACCTCTCCTTCCTCTTCAGGACTGTATACTAAAGAATGCCCGAGCGCTACAGTGACCCACTACTTCTCACAAGAGTAACCTTGATCCCTGAAGCTACCACACACTTTCCACTCCTCTTGTACCCTCCAGAGGAAGCAGGTTACCTACAAACTGTTCCGATCAAAGTGAGTAGAGGCATGAAGACACCTTTACATTGAAAATTTGATCGAAAATTTTTTTTCTCCACCATTTCTACAGTTTTTAACTTTTAAAAATTCTGTCACTTGCAAAATGTCACAAATAAATAGGTACTTGTAGCTGGCTATTTTGATTTTTGATACTATACTTAGAAAGTATCAATTATAATTTTTCTCAAAGTTGGGTATATGGAATATATGATCTTTAAAAAATATCTTTGGCATGACAAAAAAAATTGTTAAAAAATATTGTAAAGCAACACAAAAGTAAAAAACTAACCAGCCCACAAGAAAAATAATTTCTCTAACTGTGCCAAATTTCAAGTCTCAGTGTTGAAAAATATAAATAAATGGTGTAGGAAAAAAAAAGCATATGCAAGCAAAAGGTGTGTTTTGAGAAAAACAAGGGTACATATCGAAAATGTTGGTGCACAAATTAGAACCCAGTAACATTGAATTCTGTTAACAATGGTTAATCAGCGACTAGTGTCAATAAAATCTAGACTGAATGAGGGAAAGAAAAATACCAAAAGTAAAAAGTACTCAGAGTGAGTGAAAATCAGTCCCCGAGGCCCTAGACCCAACCCGCGAGCCCCCTTAAATTTAATGTGTTGTTGTAGTTGTAGTGTAGGTATAAACAAACGCAGTGGCTGCGCTCATGGTGCCATGAATGCAGCTTGCAGGCCTTGTTCACGGCGCCCTGAATGTAGTTAGCAATTTAAGAATGATCTTGCTCTCTCCACGGATAGCTAGAGAACAACAACTAAATGCCATTGGCCGATATTTATAGATAACAGTCATCTCGTTTGACGTTATTGAGGGATTCCCACTTTGTCAGTCAAGGTGGCAACACGACTGCACGAAGTCAGCCTGCCGACTAGGATTATTTTCTTTGCAACTTTCTTTGTTCAGTTCGGTTGTCTGTGATTGTGCAGCACCCTTCTTCAGCCCAGATTGATTCTGATGCTGTACGCTACGAAAACTGAGAAGAAGAAGAAGAAGAAGACTAAGAGAAGGCCTACGTCAATTTGGATACGAAAGCAAGTTCAAACAAAGTTCAACGACGCAGTGTACTGATCGACCGTTTTGACCCAGATCGTTTCTTTTAAAGTTTTGTAACTGTAAGCACAAAAAATTAAGCAAGAGACTGGACTCAATAGGACACTGAGCTGCAAATGGAGTAGAACTTAAGGGGAAGGAGCTTGGAAACCGCCAGCGCAAACCGCACACTACGCAAAATCATTACTATTTTTATAAAATCCCGATCAGATGACACGGCGGCCATCTCCCTTGTGAGGTCAAACATGATGGCTGTTACTATAAATATCGGCCAATGTCGTTTAGTTGCCGTTCTCTAGCTATCCACGCGTTCACTTCACCTCCTACCCTTTTCCCTTTTGCTTCTCTTCTTTTTTTTCACCCCCTCCCACCCTTCTTCCCGCCTTGGCCCTCTTCCATTCTCCCTTCTTTCTTCAAACAACTTTTATTTTCAAATTGTCGTGCGTTGCAGGGTCCGCACATGAGAACAGGATCGAAGTCGTGTTCCACGCCCTGAGCGAGCGAGGCCTTGTCGACCGAGGCTGTTTTGCTGTGCGTCGTCTTCGTCCTCTGTAAACTCTGTTGCATTTGGACAACCGCTGCATTATTTTTCACTAGTATTCCTATGCTGTTTCCTCATTCACTCTGAGTTTGAGCAACCGTTGCATTTCAGTCGTGCCTCAGTGCCAGGCACTCTTGTACAATTGCGGTCCCGTTTAGAGATACTCGTTTTGACCCTACCAACGATTACTTCTGGTTCTTAACTAAATAGTTACTTTTTGATGCGCATGCTGATAGGCCTATGGAGGGATAGCCAATTAAACCTAATTGTAAAACATCAAATTATGGTCAAATTCAGGGGGGCATGCCCCCCTGAAACCCCCCATATTTTTGTTAGGTGTGGTCAGGGCCCCTGAAACCCCCTTTGCCTTGTATATTTTAGGAAGTGGTTATCCTCATCCGGGGTGAGAATAAAAATACGATCGACCTCTCACCTTGGGTGAGACTTGCCACCGTTGGCTATTCTCACCCGGTGTGAAACAAGACCTGTTTTTCCTAATTTCAGAATACTTTCTATCGGTGTAGATGATCAAATGGATAAAAGCAAAGAAAAAATTACGTTACAGCACAAAAGTAAGCTAATTTGATAGTCTACAAAGATGCTATGGCTATTTCACTTTTCGAATCGAGCCGAACTACACGGGTCGCCATTTTGTTCGCCCGGAAGTTTTCGCAAGATCTACTCCTCCCCTCTTCTCTCTCTAGAGCTGTTTCTTTCTGAATACTGTCTATCGCTGTGGACGATCAAATTGACTACCAAAATAAAGTTAAAAATGATGTTAAAACACAAAAAAGTAAATTTATTTGGTCGTCTATAAAGATGCTACGGCTATTTAACTTTTCGAATCGAGCCGAACTACGTGGGTTGCCTTTTGTTTTGCCCGGAAGTTCTCGCGTTAATCCTCTTTCTCTCTTTCTCTCTCTCTCCACTGCCCACAGACAAAATTGTACGTTTTTTGGCTAACAGTAGTAATGGAACGT